CGATATCAGTGCCCGCTTTGTTGCCATCCCTGAAGTCTTTGCATTTGTGCTGATAGTATGCATTGTAAGGATCGCCGGCTTTCAAGAAATTGAATTTCGGATTGTTTTGTTCGTTCTGTTGGATCCGCGACTCAAACTCCGGGCCATTTCTGGCCACAAAACTCGCCGTCTTATCGACGATATCTTAACGGCGAAGACAATGGTTAAGGAAAACAATGGCAAAACAGCTCTCAAACCAAGAGCGCAAAAATAGTGGCAAAAAAGTGTGTCTTTGGACCAAATGGTTGGTCCGGATGTGAGAAAAGGATACTTCGAAGTTCTGGCGGCGGATATATTATGCCCACAGTTTCGCCACTCATTTTGACGGCCGATGTGTCCACTCGTGAGTCCACTCGATGTCCGACCAAACGATTATCCAATCTATAAATCAAAGACAACAACAAAATCCAAACGCAATGCAAGAGTCGATGATTTTGTCCACAAATAACGTCTGAATTGAAGACACCATTGATTTGGGATTTAAAAGGCAAACGACTTAAGCGTTGATTTGATCGACAATTATATCTGAAGACATGTTTATCGTTGGCCTCACGGGTGGTATCGCAAGCGGGAAGTCGTCGGTCACAAAGATGTTGACACAATTAGGTGTGGATGTGATTGACGGAGATTTAGTGGCCCGAGAAGTGGTCAAACCGGGAATGAAGGCCTTGGAACTGATGAGACAGCGATTGGGCGAAGACGTGATCCTCGAGAGCGGAGAAATGGACCGAAAAAGAGTGGCAGACATTATATTCAACGACCCGTCGAAGAGACAACTCGTCAATAGTATAATACATCCGCAGATTTATAAATACATATTCAGACAACTGTTTGTCTATCTCTTGATGTTAAGACAGTTTGTTGTCTTAGATCTGCCACTTCTGTACGAAAGCGGAAAAATGAGACAATATATGAGTCAAATCATTGTCGTTAAGTGCAGTCGTGAGCAACAGATCCAGCGATTAATGCAACGAAACGATTACACGGAAGAGGAATGCATTTCGCGAATTGACTCTCAGATGTCTTTGGATGAGAAGTGCTTATTAGCCGACATTGTTATCGACAACAGTCAGGACTTGATTCACACTCGACGACAAGTGGAACAAGTGGTCAAAGAGTTGAGGTCTTCGTACAGACATTGGAAACTTAGGATCGCTTTGTTTGCTATACTCTTGATAACAGTGTCTTTGATTTTATATATGTTTAGACTTTTATTCGGATAATTATTTGATTAAATTTTGTAAACAATTAATATTTGACAAAAATTGTGATTTATTTTCTAATACTAACAATAATTTTCTTAATTATGCAAATATTTTATAAATGAATTTATTTTTACATTTGATCGGAATTGATAAAATTAAACAAATAAATGAATCATTTTTCCACATGGTTAAACGGAATACTTATTTATGGGCTCTTGAATTACTGAATATTAACCGTATCATCTTATTCTTTATGTTCAAACAATTCTATTAGTGAATAAAAATGTGCTCATGGGCATTTTTAATAATTACATTTAATTGTCAGAATATTTGCTATAATTTCCAGAAACACATCAAAACTTATAAATTGATGTATTGTTGAAATATAAATCAATAATAAAAACAACGATTAATTTAATGTTTAATTAACTTTTACATCAGGCAATCAAATCAAATTTATAAAAATCAATTTACAATCAATATTACAATTACCTTGGTTATTGTCTTCAAATCAAATGTTGCGCCAAATATTTAAATTATATCACAGAATATATATGTGTTGACAGCGTTTCGTACCTTTTCTATACGATAACACAATGCTATACATCCATATAAAAGGCAGTATAAAGTTGTGATATTTATATTATTGTTATTATTATAATTTCTTAAACGCGTGTAAAATATGTTTTGAAAGTGGATTTAAAACTAAATGTATTTCTAAAACAAAATTTTGATGAATTAGTGATTGAATTACCAAATGATGTCTAATGTATGCATTCGTCTGACAAGTGATGAACGAAACCATTCGGTGGTCAAAACGGAAAGCGACTCTTCGGCCAAATATGTGTTGCCGGGCGATGAGATCACATCCGACCAGACCTTCATGAGAGGTCACGGCACGTATCTGTCGACTCTCAACGACGACAAACAGCTGATGGCGTCCATCGCCGGCGTCGTTGAGCCCATCAATCGTCTCATATCTGTCCGACCGCTGAGAACCCGATATAACGGAGAGATCGGAGATGTGATCGTCGGTCGCATTACCGAAGTTCAGAGCAAGAGATGGAGAGTCGAGACCAACGCACGGCTCGATTCGGTGCTGCAGTTGTCCGGAGTTAACCTTCCGGGCGGTGAACTCAGGCGTAAGACCGCAGAGGACGAGGTCTTAATGAGAAACTATCTCAAAGAAGGCGACATTATTTCGGCCGAAGTGCAGAATATCTTCGACGACGGGTCGCTCGGACTTCACACCCGAAGCCTTAAGTACGGAAAGTTAGGTCAAGGGATACTGATTCGAGTGTCGCCCTCATTGGTCGAGCGCCGGAAGAATCACTTCCATAAGCTTCCGATCGGCGCTAATATGATTCTCGGCAACAATGGCTTCGTTTGGATCTCTCAAGTGATAGCAGAGGGCACCGAATCGGGCGGTCATGTCATCGACTTCCGCCTTTGGATGCATTTCCGTGAGCGGCATAACTCATGTGAAAGCCCTGGCCTTCAATGAGTTTCTCGTAGTCATCGCCGGCCAGTTGTTTGGCGAACTGTTTGCCACCGCTCGGAGGTTTAGGGCTGTGAGCCTTACGGGGCTGTGAGTTACCCGACTGTTCACTCTTCGCGGGCCACGTCGGGAACATTGACGGGTCGATCGGCAGCGGACTCTCGTTAAAGAACTCGTGTTTCAACGCCTCTTCAGCAGTGATTCGACGACTCGGACAGTAAGTGAGGAATCGATTGAGTAGATCGAAGCCCTTTTTCGTGAGCTTTTGTCCCAAACGGTTGGCCATATTGTTGTACTTGTGGTCAGCGAACGTCACTTTCTTGACTAACGGCAGCTCTGAATACTCGGGCCATATCTTATCGTTAGGCGTTCCCAAGTCTTTGAAAATGGCGTTCAACTGATCGATTTCAGACTTTCCCGGGAATAATGGCTTCATTGTTAAGAATTCGCCAAAAATACATCCGACGGACCAAATGTCGATCGGATAGGAGTACTGTTTGGTCTGAAGTAAGAGTTCCGGCGAACGATACCAAAGGGTGACCACAATAGGAGTGTACGCTTTGAGAGGTGAGCCATACTCTCGGGCCAAACCAAAGTCTCCCACTTTGAGTATCCCTTTGTGACTGAGCAACAGATTGGATGTCTTTAAGTCGCGGTGAAGAATCCAGTTGTCGTGCAGATGAGCCACAGCTCGCAGCAACTGTTGCATCAAAGTCTTCACTTCGCCCAACAGGAAGGGCTGTTTCATGGTTTCCATCAGACTCTTGAGGTCGTGTTCGACAAACTCCATGACAATGAATATCTTATCCATATTAGATCCGACCACAATCTCGCGTACGGCCACAATGTTCTCGTGCTGTGCCTTCAATAGAGTACTGATTTCGCGCAACGAAGTGATGGGAAAGCCTTCCTTCTCTTTCTCCATCTTCAACCTCTTCAGAGCCACCGTTTCATTGGTCCGCTTCTCTCTCGCTCTGTACACCACTCCATACGTTCCCTCTTCTATGCGATTAATGCATTGAAACTCTTCAACACTACGACAGCCCTGTATTGCCGGATAATAATCGGGCAAATCGTCGCTCATGTCGTCACCTAATTCTTCCAATTCGTCGCCACTTTTGGCACTCTTTTCGACGACATTTGATTCCGAATAGTAAACCACGTCGTGATCGACAACAATCCGCGGGATATTATCATCGCTTTTGTTATCTTTAATCACATTATAATCTTCTTGTATCTCTTGTTCCGCTTCTTCTGCCTCTTGTGGTTCGTTATCATCGGATTCCGAGACATCACTTCTATCAGTACTTTTATCAACACTGTGTTCATCGCTAACCATCTCTTCTTCACTCATCTCCACCTCTTGGACCTCAAGCATTGCATTCAACTTCTTTGCCGTCTGTTTCACACTAACCGTTGACAATATGTTTGACGTGTTTGAAGAGTCCATTACTTTAGGCACACTTTTGTCCATTTGTGGAGATTTTCGTGATCTCTCACGACTCGGCTCTAACTCTTTGTTATGCCTTTGTTTATGCGATCGACTGGTTGTCAGTTCACTCGATTTAGACCTCCAGTTATCGCTGGAACTATTCTTCTCGTCTAAAACCATCCATCGCTCGGAAAGTGTCTGTTTTTCGGCGTTTCGACTTCTGTTTGGATTCACGTTTACTTCGGTCTCGTCTTCCCGTCGCCGGCGTCTAAAGTCTTCTTCACTTTTTGCGCTCCTATTATCTGAATATCGACTTCTGTTGCGGTGTTTGTCTCGATGTCTGTCTTTCGGTCTCTCAAACGGCGCTTCTTTTGCCGATCGATTCAAAGACTTGTCGGAAGTATTTCTATAATTATAATCAACCGAATAGTTCTTATGCCGGGAAGAAGTGGACGCCTTGTGTTGCGGCGGCTTTATATCGAGCCCTTCCTCATTGGTCTCGTCCAACATCTCGTCGTCTTCTTCTTCCTCTTCGTATTCTTCGCGATCGGGAGTCGAGTGGTTCTCATCGGAGACATACTGTAAGTCCGGACTCTGGCTTTTGTGTCTCTTTCTGTGTTTGGACTCATATTGTGGTCGATATCCTTCGCCACCCCTTTCGCCGCTCCTCTTCAGCGATGTCTTCATATGTCTGTCAATCTCTCCGTCTTCTGATTCAGTGCTTCTGTCGCTTGTGTTTGACATTTGAGCCAATATTTCACTGCAATCTCACAATCAGTCAAAACACAGGAAAACACTTCCGCTTATAAACACAAATCGGAGCCAAATATTAAATAACTCTTTAAATAACTCTTAAAAATACATTTGATTTGAAAGTCAAACAAACAGTTAATGAAAACATTCAATGAAAACGCTTTTTGAATGTTTGCCGACATTTCAATACAATATAAACCATTCAATCCTCCTATCAATGCATTCATTGTAATCATTAATGTTTTACTTAATTATTATAAATACATCTCATTTATTAATATTATTACAACACTTTTTAATTAGTTATTTATAAATATTATGCAATCAACAACTAATTTAATGAATGTATTATTAAATAATTACAACTGTATATAAGTTCAGGGATTTATAGCGACAACAACAGCAGTATTCACACAAATATAACGTTACAAATATAAACAGTGGGCGACGTATGGAATGGACTTTACATCGCTATAGCATAGGGTTGTGTTTTATGGGGCGTTACAATCGGTTTATTTGTTACGTCAGTTGTTATCGATTTGCGAGAAATCCCCAAAAGTGGTGTAAAATCCCCGCATATTCTGTATGACTGGCAGTGAATTGTTATGCAATGCATTGAAATTCTGTACGTTTTGCAGAATATGTGTGTATTTGTGTTGGCAATCAATGAATAGACTATTAGTGTATAGATTAGTGACTCATTCGTACGAATGAATAAATTCTGTTAACAAAACATCAATACATCAATTGTTGTGTGTATTCAGTGCTAAGGCTTTGGGTTTGCGATTAACAGTTGAGACCAGATATTGATTACACCATTCATACCATTCACACCATTCAACACCGGTTTTCACACATAATTGACAGTGAATTGTGTGCATAGATATAGCGATTGACAATTGTGTACACAATTCACACTACAATACAGTCGAGTGAAAGTGAATCACATTTACTATACGTTGAGTTCGTTATTAAAAAAAAGCAAAACAAGAATTGATTACGAAATGAATGAATGATTGAGTGATTGTTAAGTGACTCTGCATTTAGAGGCTGACAGTGACTGACATTCAGTGCTCTCACAACTACTCACCCATTCGTACATCACTTCCGGATCTCAAAACTCATTGAAACATACATTTCATCATTAAATGAATTGTTAATTTGTTGTATAATTTATACATTTATTCATTCAATCATTACATGAATGCAAAATTTTTTTTATCGCAATTGATTTGGAAATTATAGCATATTTTTTATTGAATATTCAATTCATTTAGTGATAGGATTTGATTGAAAGAGTGAACCGAAAGACATGAAGAATATCTATGAATAAAGCAATTAAATGATGAATATTAGTAATTCAGTCTTATATTACCATTGATTGGTCTGTCAATCAAATCAATACATGATATCCTAATATTGATCTCAATTTACGTCTAAAGTCTATTCAAACCGTTGATAATTTGTGAGATAAGCAAATTTTTCACTGATTAGACGTTGAATGCAAACAACTTGTGATTTTCTGACTATTCACTGACTGCCTATAAATCAATCATTTCATAAATCCTTACAATATTTTCCAATTGGGACTCAATTTATTGATCATTTGTAGCCATTGTTTGAGGCATTAAGACATTAAATGGAAAGACGTGTTGGTGTCGAACATTTAGATCTGTTTTTGAGTGATTCTAATCTCGAAGAAGGTATCACTCAAGTGGTAAAGTCTGTGAGACCCGAGTGGCCGGAGATTAACATTAAGCTTAAAGTGTTTACGGATGGCATCACTAATCGATTAATTGGTGTCTATTTGGAGAAGAATCCAAACGATATGGTTTTGATCCGCGTTTACGGCGAGAAGACGGAACTGTTTATCGATCGAAAACAAGAGCTGAGAAATATGCGGACAATGTATAAGTCGGGACTCATTCCTCCGTTTTACTGTTCATTTAATAATGGCATTTGTTATGGATATTCGCCGGGAGTAGTCCTCGACGAAGACATGGTTAGGGATCCAATCATCTCTTCACTCATCAGCGAAATGATGGCCCGAATGCACACAATTAAGCCACAAGTGAGCCGATGCCACGAAGCGAAGGACTGCGCCCACGAACCCGAACCCTCGCTCTTCAGAGGTCTGCGAAAATTTCTAGACTTAATCCCCTGTGCCTTAAGAGACACACAACAGGATAAACGGTTGGTTTGCTTTTCATTTGTTTGTCACTTATTTATGTTTTAACTTCTTTTTTGCATTTCACTTGTATTTAGTTTCAAAAAGTTTATCCCAAAGAAAGAGAATCTTCTATTGGAAGTGAATTTCCTTGAGAACAGTCTGCGAAAGCTGTCGTCTCCGATAGTGTTCAGTCACAATGACTTACTGCTGAAGAATATAGTGTTCAGCGCCGAGAAGAGAGCCGTCACTTTCATAGACTTCGAATACGCCGATTACAACTACCAGGCCTTCGACATCGCCAACCATTTCTGTGAGTTCGCAGGCGTCGACACATTCAATCCGAGCCTCTATCCCAACAAAGAGTTTCAGTTCCGATGGCTTCGCCACTATCTGGAGGCGTGGTTTGCGCTGAAGACCCGCTCACTTGTGGCCAACTCTATAGAGAGACCGTCCATTGACAAGGAGGTGGAGACTCTGTACCATCAGGTGAACCAATTCGCGATGGCGTCCCACATGTGTTGGGGTCTGTGGGCCATCGTTCAGGCCGAACACTCCACCATTCATTTCGATTATTTGGGTTATTCTATACAACGGCTCAGAGAGTACTATAAACTTAAAGATGAGTTCCTTATAAACGATGATATCTATCATTGAGTTCGAGACCAAAGGTTTACAATAGTTATCGATATTCTCTATAAGAATGTCATATAAATTGTATATTTAGTTATTTTTCATTCCATATTAATTGAAAACAAAGTTGTGTTCATTTAATTTTAGAAAACAATTATTTGTTTATTTTATTCGTAAGTTTTTATGTTTTGTTAGTTAAACGTTGTTTTAAATGTTTTTATTTATCAATATTTTTAATAACTGATCTTTAAATGAATTTATGTTTTTGTTAAATAATTGAAACAATAATTTGTATGAAATGATTGAATATTTCAAATGTTTAATAAAAGTGAAGATCAATTTAAATCCATTCCTTCAAATTCATTGAGCCTTAGTTTGGTTTGTTCTGCGATAACAGCGACCACTTCAGGCATTAGCAGATCCTTTGGTTGGTATCCCAACTGTACGGACACCTCATAGGCGTACGAAACACTCGTATCGTTGAGCATAACCTTATGTTTAGCTAACCCGAGCGTACAGTTGCGAAGTCTAGCCATAGTCTCTCTTTCCTGGAGCGCAATGTCGCTAAAGTCGATGACATGACCGCCCGATTCGGTGCCCTCTGCTATCACTTGAGAGATCCAAACGAAGCCATTGTTGCCGAGAATCATATTAGCGCCGATCGGAAGCTTATGGAAGTGATTCTTCCGGCGCTCCACCAATGAGGGCGACACTCGAATCAGTATCCCTTGACCTAACTTTCCGTACTTAAGGCTTCGGGTGTGAAGTCCGAGCGACCCGTCGTCGAAGATATTCTGCACTTCAGCCGAAATAATGTCGCCTTCTTTGAGATAATTTCTCATTAAGACCTCGTCCTCTGCGGTCTTACGCCTGAGTTCACCGCCCGGAAGGTTCACTCCCGACAACTGCAGCACCGAATCGAGCCGTGCGTTGGTCTCGACTCTCCATCTCTTGCTCTGAACTTCGGTAATGCGACCGACGATCACATCTCCGATCTCTCCGTTATATCGGGTTCTCAGCGGACGAACAGATATGAGACGATTGATGGGCTCAACGACGCCGGCGATGGACGCCATCAGTTGTTTGTCGTCGTTGAGAGTCGACAGATACGTGCCGTGACCTCTCATGAAGGTCTGGTCGGATGTGATCTCATCGCCCGGTAATACATATTTGGCCGAAGAGTCGCTTTCCGTTTTGACCACCGAATGGTTTCGTTCATCACTTGTCAGACGAATGCATACATTAGACATCATTTGTTCATTCAATCACTAATTCATCAAAATTTTGTTTTAGAAATACATTTAGTTTTAAATCCACTTTCAAAACATATTTTACACGCGTTTAAGCAATAATAATGATAACAATAATATAAATATCCAAACTTTATAATGTCTTTTATATGGGTTTTATATATAGTGTTATCGTATAGAAAGGGTACGAAACGCTGTCAACACATATATATTCTATGATATAATTTAAATATTTGGCGCAACATTTGATTTGAAGACAATAACCAAGGTAATTGTAATATTAATTGTAAATTAATTTTAATTTGATTTCCTGATGTAAAAGTTAATTAGACACCAAATTAATCGTTGTTTTATTATTGACTTATATTTCAACAATACATCAATTTATAAGTTTTGATGTGTTTCTGGAAATTGTAGCAAATATTCTGACAATTAAATTTAATTATTAAAAATGCCCATGAGCACATTTTTATTCACTAATAGAATTATTTGAACATAAATAATAAGATGATATGATATGGTTAATATTCAGTAATTCAAGAGCCCATAAATAAGTATTCCGTTTAACCATGGAAAAATGATACATTCAATAATGATTAACATTACTTTATTTGTTTAATTTTATAAATTCTGATCAAATGTAAAAATAGATTCATTTATAAGATATTTGCATAATTAAGACAATTATTGTTAGTATTAGAAAATAAATCACAATTTTGTCAAATATTAATTGTTTACAAAATTTAATAAAATAATTATCCGAATAAAAGTCTAAACATATATAAAATCAAAGACACTGTTAAGAAGAGTATAGCAAACAAAGCGATCCTAAGTTTCCAGTGTCTGTACGAAGACCTCAACTCTTTGACCACTTGTTCCACTTGTCGTCGGGTGTGAATCAAGTCCTGACTGTTGTCGATAACAATGTCGGCTAATAAGCACTTCTCATCCAAAGACATCTGAGAGTCAATTCGCGAAATGCATTCCTCTTCCGTGTAATCGTTTCGTTGCATTAATCTGTGTGAATCAAGTCCTGACTGTTGTCGATAACAATGTCGGCTAATAAGCACTTCTCATCCAAAGACATCTGAGAGTCAATTCGCGAAATGCATTCCTCTTCCGTGTAATCGTTTCGTTGCATTAATCGCTGGATCTGTTGCTCACGACTGCACTTAACGACAATGATTTGACTCATATATTGTCTCATTTTCCCGCTTTCGTACAGAAGCGGCAGATCTAAGACCACAAACTGTCTTAACGTCAAGAGATAGACAAACAGTTGTCTGAATATGTATTTATAAATCTGCGGATGTATTATACTATTGACGAGTTGTCTCTTCGACGGGTCGTTGAATATAATGTCTGCCACTCTTTTTCTGTCCATTTCTCCGCTCTCGAGGATCACGTCTTCGCCCAATCGCTGTCTCATCAGTTCCAAGGCTTTCATTCCCGGTTTGACCACTTCTCGGGCCACTAAATCGCCGTCAATCACATCCACACCTAATTGTGTCAACATCTTTGTGACCGACGACTTACCGCTTGCGATACCACCCGTGAGGCCAACGATAAACATGTCTTCAGATATAATTGTCAATCAGATTAACGCTTAAGTCGTTTGCCTTTTAAATCCCAAATCAATGGTGTCTTCAATTCAGACGTTATTTGTGGACAAAATAATCGACTCTTGCATTGCATTTGGATTTTGTTGTTGTCTTTGATTTATAGATTGGATAATCATTTGGTCGGACATCGAGTGGACTCACGAGTGGACACATCGGCCGTCAAAATGAGCGGCGAAACTGTGGGCATAATATATCCGCCGCCAGAACTTCGAAGTATCCTTTTCTCACATCCGGACCAACCATTTGGTCCAAAGACACACTTTTTGCCACTATTTTATCGGCTCGTGGTTTGAGAGCTGTTTTGCCATTGTTTTCCTTAACCATTGTCTTCGCCGTTAAGATATCGTCGATAAGACGGCGAGTTTTGTGGCCAGAAATGGCCCGGAGTTTGAGTCACGGATCCAACAGAACGAACAAAACAATCCGAAATTCAATTTCTTGAAAGCCGGCGATCCTTACAATGCATACTATCAGCACAAATGCAAAGACTTCAGGGATGGCAACAAAGCGGGCACTGATATCGNCCGGAGTTTGAGTCGCGGATCCAACAGAACGAACAAAACAATCCGAAATTCAATTTCTTGAAAGCCGGCGATCCTTACAATGCATACTATCAGCACAAATGCAAAGACTTCAGGGATGGCAACAAAGCGGGCACTGATATCGTGGCGGCGCCCACCGGGCCCTACAACGCCGCCACCGCCGCCGCCGCCCTCGTCGCCAAACAGCAACAGCTCCACAACACCGGCTCCGTCTCGAAGACCGCCTCCAAACAGTTGGAACAGTTTATGGATCCGCCGATCATTCCTCGGGAACCGCCGCCGGATTTTGAGTTTCTGGAGGACCCGCCGTCCATATCGGCTCTGGATCTGGATGTGGTTAAGTTGACGGCACAGTTCGTGGCCATTCACGGCCGCTCTTTCCTCACGAATCTGATGAATAGAGAGCAACGCAACTATCAGTTCGACTTTCTTCGGCCACAACACGGGCTCTTCAATCACTTCACGCAACTCATCGAACAATACGCCAAAATCCATACGCCGTCGAAGACTGTCGTCAATCTGTTGGCCAAAGAGATGCAAAACAATAAAATCTTTTTGGATAAAAAGGCCATATCTCACCTCACCTGAGCGTAAGTTCTCCGCGTGTTTGCTGCCGAGCTTCTCCTCCGGCTCTTCCTCGCGTAGGTTATGCGCGTCTAGCTAACCGTGCTGAAACAGTAACACCTCTGACACGACTATCAGCCCCACGAACAGGGATTGTTTCCGCCGCCAACCACTCCAGAGAGGGTCGGCTCTAGGATTCTGTTGCAGCAGAGGATCGAAGAACAGGGAGTAAGAACTCATTCAATCATCTATTGTTTGATGTAATCAATGCTAATATGTGTTGTTCTGATTGATAGCAAGAAGCGGTTGAAATGGATGTCGATTCCGATGAAGACAACGCCGCAAACAAAGAGGAATCCAATGCTAACAAAGAGAAGGAATCGATGCCTCCGCCACCACTGCCTCCACTTCCGCCCCAATTGGATAATGTGCTCATTCGTAAGGATTATAATCCGAAGTCGACTAAAGCACAGCCGCAACAGAACCCAACGCCTTCGCGACCACTCGACTCGTGGGTTATCTCTCCGATCACTGGCGAGAAAATACCGGCCGATAAACTACAAGAGCACATGCGCTTCGGTCTACTGGTTCCGGTATAGAGTGGAGTGGACTCGCATTCAAGAGGCGCACAAACGACGGCTCGAAGAGGAGGCCGAGAAGGAGCGCATCCAATACGCGCAGATCGATTGGCACGACTTTGTCATTGTGGAGACTGTTGACTATCAGCCCCACGAACAGGGATTGTTTCCACCGCCAACCACTCCAGAGAGGGTCGGCTCTAGGATTCTGTTGCAGCAGAGGATCGAAGAACAGGGAGTAATAACTCATTCAATTGTCTATTGTTTGATGTAATCAATGCTAATATGTATTGTTCTGATTGATAGCAAGAAGCGGTTGAAATGGATGTCGACTCCGATGAAGACAACGCCGCAAACAAAGAGGAATCCAATGCTAACAAAGAGAAGGAATCGATGCCTCCGCCGCCATTGCCTCCACTTCCGCCACAATTGGATAATGTGCTCATTCGTAAGGATTATAATCCGAAGTCCACTAAAGCACAGCCGCAACAGAACCCAACGCCTTCGCGACCACTCGACTCGTGGGTTATCTCTCCGATCACTGGCGAGAAAATACCGGCCGATAAACTACAAGAGCACATGCGCTTCGGTCTACTGGTACTAAAGCACAGCCGCAACAGAACCCAACGCCTTCGCGACCACTCGACTCGTGGGTTATCTCTCCGATCACTGGCGAGAAAATACCGGCCGATAAACTACAAGAGCACATGCGCTTCGGTCTACTGGACCCGCGTTGGGTCGAACAGAGGGATCGCACCATTCAAGAGAAGATGGCTCAGGAGGAGGTGTACGCCGTCGGCTCTGCCATTGAGAGCAGTCTTAAACAGTTGGCTGAAAGACGTACTGATATTTTTGGTTCCGGAGATGAGGAGACAGTTATCGGCAAAAAGATCGGCGAAGAAGAGCATAAAAAGCCTGAGAAGGGACAAGTCGTATGGGACGGACACACGGCGTCCGTGGAAGCGGCCACTCGTGCCGCCAGAGCTAACATCACGATTGAGGAACAGATCCAACAAATCCACAAAATTAAAGGTCTTTTGCCAGAGGATGACAAAGACAAGATCGGACCCGCTTTGCCCTCCACTTCCAACACGGGAGCCATCATTTCTGCGCCGCCCATCACTTCCATACCGATAATCTCTGCGCCGCCGAAGTCTCAAATGATGTCAACGCCGAGTATGTCGATCATCACGACTACCATAAACGCGGCGCCGCCTGTGATGGCACCGCCGCAACAGATGCAGGCATTGCATGGAATGCCTCACCACCCGAATCACCCGCAAATGATGCCACCAATGATGATGGGCGGACAGCCCGGACCTTATATGATGGCCCCGCATATGATGGCTCACATGGGATTGTATGGAATGCCTATCCATCAGCCGCACGACATGAATATGGGGCCCACTCTCACGCCATTAGGTGTTCCGCCGCCTAATATGGCGATCAACTTCGATGAAGAGCCCGCCTCTAAGAAGACACGAACTGAAGACAATTTGATTCCAGAGGAAGAGTTTCTGGCGAAGAGCGGACCGAACGTCACAATCAAAGTACAGGTCCCGCAGAGCAGCGAAAAGGCCGAATGGAAACTGACGGGTCAAGTGTTGTCACTAACGCTTCCGCTCACAGACACCATAGCAGTAATAAAGAGCAAAATCCAAGAACAGACTCTTATGCCTCCCGCCAAACAGAAGCTCCAATTGGACGGTGTCTTCGTTAAGGACTCCAATTCGTTGGCCTTTTATAACACGACGAACGGCGCTGTCGTTGTCCTCGGACTCAAGGAGAGGGGCGGACGCAAGAAGTGAACCACGACTTCAATACAACCAACTATTGATATTTTATTGACTTTTATTTAACAGTGAATTTAAAATATTTGCGTCAATCCATCATAAGTTTAAATTCATATCCATTTGTAATAAAATTGAAATCAAATGCCAATTAAGACATGAAATCATATTTTATTTAACTCTAAATGTAATTTGTTTTGCGTTAACAATAAATTGACTGAAAAACTAAATATTAACACAAATTTTTGAAAACAATTTTAAACACAACTACTTCTTGACGGCTAAGCATCGAAGGACGCGATCGCTAATACATGTTTAGTGCTTCTTGTGGTCCTCTTCGGGCAACTCTTCCCAACCGGTGGGCAAAGCGTTGTATTTGGGATTATGGAAGAGAGTGTGCTGTCCGTCGCCCCACGGGAAGGGACGGGTCCTGATCCTCATGTACTCGTATGGCTTGAACTCCGGGCGCACGTAATGCTCGTGATGTTCCTTCTCCAGCAAATAGGTGTTGAGTCCCGACAGACCTATCGCTGGGATACACACGAAGAAGAAGATCTTCCACCACAGCTCCGGATTGGGCTCATGAGCGCCATGACTGCCACCACTCGCCGTCTTCGACATCAATCGCATCGCCGATCGCACCATCAGATGGTTGGCCACCGTTTGGCCGCGAGTTAACACTTTCGACAAAATCATTGCTCCCAACGATCGCCTCTTTAGTCCATTCAAACATATGATTATCAATGCATTGTATGATCACATCAATGGTTACCTCAGATTGTCTTCAAATCAATTCAATGTAATCTCAAATTGGGATCAAAAATGGTTTTTGTTGTCTGTTTTGATCTCACGTTCACTCCTGTAGTCGTATGTGTCGTGTATTCCCACATAAACTCATAAATGCCTACATTTTGGGAATATTGCCCCATATATTGAGTGCCAAATATCGTGTAACCAATAGTAACCAATACCTCTATAACATTAGGAATGTATCACAACATTCATTATACCACGTCTACCTTCTAAATAGAAAAATTTGAACATGCTAAAACTTTTAAATATTTTTAATTAATTTACATAACATCAAAATCAATTAATTTAATATAAAATGAAATGATTGCTAATTGATTATAAGCTAAAATTGATGGCATACTGTAGTTAACAAACTTTGATTCACGTAATGATCGTATGAGTGAATGATTGGATCTTTGCATACATTATAAGCGATAAGAGTATTAACTAATAAAATAGACGACAATTTAGTGACAATTAAAATGTAGAGGAAATGTAGGGAAGGGTTGGTCTAAATGAGTGGAAAGTGTTGAACGAATGCCAATCCGACACATAAGACATTGTGCGATAAGAGATGAGCACTAATTACTGAGAGAGCAGTGCTTTTGAACACAAGTTTTAAAAAATTCATGACTTGTTGTATGCATTGAAATGTTTGGTTGGCTTTAATGTTAACGCAAACACTAGCGCTAAACGAGCCGTTAATTAAGCATCAAATTAATGCTCAATATATAAGTATTAACACAATTAAGGCCAACACCGCTGTCATGGATAAGAAGCTAATGGTATACGCGTTGGGAATATTTGTCACGTATTTCTACTTCGGTATACTTCAGGAGAAAATGTGAGTCCTCTAAGTCACCACTTGATTCACCCGTAATTATCTTCAATGTCTTCACCTCTTGTCCCACAGAACTCGTAGCAAATACGGCGACAATAAGGAGACATTCAAATGTACGATAAGTCTAGTGTTCATCCAATGTCTGGTCAACGCATTGTTCGCCAAATTAAGTAATCATTACATTTTGTGCTGATTTGACACTAAATTTTGTAATTCAATGCTTAAACTGATAATGAAATTGTGTTTTTGCGAAATGAAGTGTTGATGACGTTTATGAAACAAGGAGTGGACACAACCACTAAGTGGTACTACTTCTTCTGCTCGTCGTCCTATTTGACGGCAATGGTCTCATCCAATATGGCTCTACAACACGTCAATTACCCGACACAAGTGGTCGGCAAGTCATGCAAACCGATTCCTGTGATGATTTTGGGAGTCCTTTTTGGCCGAAAACGATATCCCATTTTGAAGTATTTGTTTGTGTTTATGATTGTCGTCGGCGTCGGGCTCTTCATGTTTAAGGACAACGCCGGCCGCTCGAGCGCCGCGTCGGCCACCGCTTTGGGCACCGGAGAGCTATTACTTGTACTCATCTATCAGTTGACCACTTAATGTTCAGACAAATGATGACATTGTGTATTACAGATACTGTCTCTGGCAATGGATGGACTGACCGGTGCTTTTCAGGAGCGAATGAAGAATGAATATAAGACCCAATCCGGACACATGATGTTACAAATGAACATTTGGTCGACTCTCACACTCGGTCTTATTCTCTTGATTTTTGGCGAAATCTGGACATTCATTGAGTTTGTCGGCCGCTATCCTTACGTTATATACGATATAATCTCATTTTCAGTGCTCAGTGCTGTCGGACAGGTAGGCATTAATTGATTGAATGCGAGACTACAGTAATTGCTATTGTAATCATTACTCGTGTATTTAAATAGATGTTTATATTCCTGATTGTGGCCAACTTCGGACCCCTTCCCTGCTCTATAACGACGACTACCCGAAAATTCTTTACTGTTTTGGGTTCTGTTATTCTCTTCGGTAACTCCCTGTCCAACAGGCAATGGTTGGGAACCGCTTTCGTGTTCCTCGGGTTGGCTTTGGATAGTTTTTACGGCAAAACTAGTGTAAAGGCTAAACCCGTTAAATGACATGAATTAGTATAATATTTATTAAATTATTTATTTTCAATTTAATATAATAACAGAATATATGACAAAAATAAATCTCTAAAACCCCTGTAAACCGGTATCAAAAATAATTGCTTATTTATTCACTATTATTGCTTCTAATAATATATTTTGGTTAAATATTTTCATTCAAGTTATTGTTGGCTTTGTTTGCGATTTCGTTCTCGAGTTTGCGATATCTTTGTGCTAAAGAAGTGTAGACAATGGGGGCGTCGGATGAAGGGTTGGCTGCGATCGAAGGCGTATCGATTCCTTCAATCATTTCTTCGAAACTTTTTTCTTCTTTAATGAGCGCTAAAACACACGGAATATTCAATGAATACACGAATGATATATGAAGTCAAATAACTCACAGTATTTTGCGAGCAGAGCAGCGCCTAAAGCGGCTGAGTTGGGCCGCGTCTGGACAATGACGGGTGCGTTGAACACATCGGCTAAGGCTTGAATGATGGCGGCATTGGCTGAGGCGCCACCCGTTGCCAACACTCTAGTGTTGGGTCCGATATTATAGCCCAGATTTTCGGCGTGTACTCGGAGTCGAAGGAACTGACCCTCAATACAGGCCCTGACCTCCACTTCTTTCGAGAAGCGCTGCACTTCGGCGTCGAATTTATTATATCGAAAATCTCCGGCAATTAATGGATAGATTTCTTTGAAATCGAAATAAAAGCCAATATTTCCGAAATTGCCTCTCGGAGTGGACTCAAGCAACTCATTGAAGAGCTGCCAATCGCCTTCCGCGCACTCGTCTCTCATCCGTTCTCGAGTTCGCGACCCATTCTTGAAGCAAATCAAAGCCATATATGACTTCTCGTCCAACGGATTGCATAGTATGTGTCCGTCGAGCGATGGTTTCGGGTGATAGAGGCGTAAGAATACGGTATCACTGGTGCCCAGACTGACAGCGATGTCGTCCGGACGCAAACCCATGCCTATTAGAGACGCGGGATTGTCGCCCGTGAAGGAGACCACACGACAGTCGGCACTGAAACCATACCGATCCACGAAATACTGAGATATGGGTCCCAACGCCGTAGCGCTCGGCACAAGCGTTTCGCCTAATTTGGCGCTCAGTTCGGGCGCACAATAGTCCAGACATTGTTGCGACCATTGATGTGATGTGATGTCCAATAAGTTCATACCCGAGCCGTCGCTCAGATCGATGGGCGCGTAGTCTCCCAAGAAAAGTGAGGCACAAAAGTTGCTCACAAGACATATGCGTTCAGTTTGTGCGTAAACGTCGGGTCGGGTTTGAAATATTTTTGCGATTTGACTGCCGGTGAAGCGTTCGTAAGCTCGGGAACCGGTTATGTCGGCCAAGCGTTGGGCGCCGCCAACCGATTCTTCCAATTGTTTGCACTGTTGTGTTGTACTCGAGTCCATCCAAACCGGCGAATCGCGACACGAGAAACACTGAGACAATTGGTTGTGCAGAAAGTTATTGGCGTTTAAGCTCTTGAGCGTATGGATGGCCCCTCTCTTCCA